TACTGCGGCAAGATTCCACTAAAGTCATTTCCAATGAATGAACGTTCCTTTTAAAAACCTAGAGAAGGGGCTTCCCTGGTGGCGCAGTGGTTGAGAGTCCGCCTGCCAATGCAGGGGACACGGGTTCGTGCCCCGGTCCGGGAAGATCCCACGTGCCGCGGAGCGGCTGGGCCTGTGAGCCATGGCCGCTGAGCCTGCGCGTCCGGAGCCTGTGCTCCGCAACGGGAGAGGCCACAACGGTGAGAGGTCTGCGTACCGCTAAAAAAAAAAAAAAACCTAGAGAAAATCCCACAACTCATTTTTGACACAGTGAAGTATTTTTTCTTTATTAATTAATTAATTAATTTTTATTTTTTTGGCTGCGTTGGGTCTTCGTTGCTGCGCGCAGGCTTTCTCTAGTTGCGGCGAGCGGGGGCTACTCTTGGTTGTGGTGCGCGGGCTTCTCATCACGGTGGCTTCTCTTGTTGCGGAGCACAGGCTCTAGGCGTGCGGGTTTCAGTAGTTGCGGCTCATGGGCTCAGTAGTTGTGGCGCATGGGCTTAGTTGCTCCGCGGCACGTGGGATCTTCCCAGACCAGGGCTCGAACCTGTGTCCCCTGCACTGGCAGGGGGATTCTTAACCACTGCGCCACCAGGGAAGCCCTACAGTGAAGGTTTTTAAAGACATGTCTCTGAGAGCGATGGAGTAAGTACACAAGAGCTATAAAGATGCCAGCCAGGCAAACGCAGGTTCAGCAGCAGAAGCAAAAGCCTGGGCGCTGAGGCCAGAGAAACACCGGACAACGACCAGCTCACAGTGCACATGGGCGCCCCCAGGCCTGAGCTGCCCTCAACGGCTCGGGCGCTGGAGCCACAGGCTGTCACAAGTGCCACAGCACAGCAGGTCAGGTAGCCACCTCCCACAAGGGCCCGCACAGGCCAGCTCCTACCAAGCCACCCTCCTATAAAATAGGTCCCTAAGTCACCAAAAAACGTTCTACTGACTCAAAGCACTTAACTAGAAAACACTTCATAAATAACTTTTCAGTCAATTTTTTCATTTAGTAAACATGCTGAAGGTCTGAGCTTTCAAAGGACAACAAACTAGTATTACTAAAACAAACTTAAAATAAGCATCAAGGACTTATCTGGCGGTCCAGTGGTTAGGACTCTGCGCTTCCACTGCAGGGGGCGCAGGTTCAATCCCTAGTCGGGGAACCAAGATCCCACATGCCGAAAGGCATGGCCAAAAAACCCCCAGAAACACAAAACAAACAGCATCGGCAGCACTAGAGGCCCCCAAATTTTCCACTATTAAAACAAGAAACCAGAGCCAATTTTGGTCACGAGAAAAACGTCTACAAGAGCGTTACAGCAAAAAACGGTAAGAGAAACACGCATGCTAAGAGTCAGAAATTAGTGTTTAACTCTATAAAAGACAACCCCCATCTCAAATTAGCTAGGATATGTGCAGTAATTTGAGGGGTGTCCCTCCTGAAAGCCAGAACCCGCACCACCGGGAGCTGCTCCCCTTCGGCACGGGCGCCAGACTCACGCCAACCTCTCTCCAGGGGTCCCGCAGAGGAACGAGTGGCTTATTCCTTCAAAACACTCCCACCTGGAGACACTCCAGTCTCTAAAACAGGTGCAGCTGTGGGAGCACGCCCGCCTGCGATGAGCGCTCTCAGTCTCCGACAGACTCCATCACTGACTGACTGTGACCCCGGGCCCAGAGGGAGCACCACGCCCCTCGGTTTAGGACCTGTGAGCCGGAAATGAGCGCCAAGGGAGCCAAAGCAAGGGGAGCGCTGGGCACAAGGCCTCAGCCTGCTTTCAGCGTTGGCTGTTGCTGTTGACGCGTTCAGTGCCGCACGGCCCTCATCTGTTGTTGAATCCCTGGCGCCCGACACAAACCGTCAACTAAGCGTTCCATTTAACGAGCACCTGTAGCGCACCTTGCAGGTAACTATAAACTATGGTGACAACTTTAACAGGCGGGCACTGTGACGATTTCCTTTCACAGATGTGGAGTCCAAAGCACAAACTTAACTGCTGTGCTCGAGGTCACACAGCTAGTGATGGTGCAGAGCCAGATCTGGAACTGGGTCTGCTGACGCACAGCACGTGCCCGCCGAGCTTGCCATGGGCCGGCGGCACAGCGAGGTCCACGCCTGAACCACACTTTCTCTCCAGCACTTGGTAAGCAAGTGAATATGCTTCAAATTACGACACACTCACTTGCATATGAGAGAAGCTGCCACCTAGAGGAACAAGTCAATACGTTCCTTGCTAAACTGTTTAGGAGAAACCACTTTCTAATTTCTCTGGGCTCGATTTCCTTGAAGCCAGGATTTTTATTCTTCTTAACCAGTGATACATAATCACCTGTAAAAATGTAAAGGAAAAAAAGAAAGACCAAGGCTCCACCCCAGACACGGAGTCCCAGACTCTAGAGACCAGAATGTGCATTTCTGAACAGCTCATGTGCATATTCAGTTAGGGACCACTGCACATCTCTTCCTGTACGTGCTGAGCACTGACTGTATGTGAGGCTCGAGGAAGACACAGGTGTGAAAATAATCACAACACAGCAGAACCAATGCTCCAGCAGAAGCATGTGCTGTACACGCACATAGTCAAGTCTTCCGGACGCAGAGAGGAGAAAGGACTAATACAGCCTGGGATGGATCTAACAATATAAATTCAAAATTATGGACCCAAAACATCTGACCTCAAATCTAGTGAAAAATTAGGTCGCCAACCTGGGCAACTGGCAAACTCCCACAAGCGAGGGTAACATTAATCGGTATACAACATTTTTTCAAACTTCCTAAGCAATAGTTCTTCATTTGGAAAGGGGAAGGAGGTCATCCCGGTGACAGCAACAGTCAAGAGCTCCGTTATGCAATATACTTAATCACATGTATCAAGAAGTTTCAGTTCACACTTGTCTATGCTTTCTACCAAGTATTAAAACACAAAGGAAACTTTACTTTCTAATTATCAAAGCAGGATGAATTTGTGACTCAGAAGTTTGAAATATTTTTAGAAAAGATGCTTTTTGGTGAAATTGTGCATTAAAATAGACATTTTAAACAGACCTAAATACAGGCTCTTAACAGAACTTTTTAAAAGTTGGATTTTTAACTGAACATAAAACTTAAAAGATATGATGGAATGGACATTAAAAAGCTAATTATGGGAACTCCCTGGCGGTCCAGTGGTTAGGACTCCGCACTTTCACTGCTGGGGGCCCAGGTTCAATCCCTGATCGGGGAACTAAGATCCTGCAAGCCTCGTGGCATGGCCATAAAAAAAAAGAGAAAAAGCTAATTGCATGCTTACTCCAAGCTATCAATGTAGAGAAGTATGGATTCTCTTCATTCAGGTGAGTTTTTAAAACATGAAACAAAATGTGACAGTTCTAATGCACGCGAGCTCTTCTAATAAAGAACAATGAGCCGCGCTGACACGACAAGGCTTGTCCCAGCAGGCCCTCTCAAAACTCATGACACCTGCGGGGGAGAGCAAGGCTCCGGGGCTGCGGCTGGGATAAGAGCACCCCCCCGCGCGGGTCCTGGAGCTCTAAGAACTCATTTTACGCAACAGGCAAAACAAAATCCTGAAACCAAAATTCATTCTGTCACAATAAAAGAACTTCAGAGTAGGTATTTTGAGAATTCTCGGCAGGTACTTGGGAGACTGCTTCTGTGTCTGCTGAACTCAAGGGAGCGCCCACCAGTGAGCTCCGGTACCTCTTTTCAGTTCCTGGCACTTTAATCTTCCCGTATCATGGGGACCAGGTGAGAAAGTGCCGCAGAGGGAGCTCCCAGTAGCCACAAAAATCAAACCACGCAGTGACTCTTGTTTAAGTCAGCACAATCCCTTTCTCCTTAGGACAGATAAATGACAGCAAAATTCCTCAATGGATAAAACACCGGCGCCCACGGGCAGCTCCCGAGTTCCGTGGGCCCAGCGCGCGCGCGCGCGCGCGCACACACACACACACACAGAGGCAGCGCTCCTGACTCACTAGAAATGGAGACGACCCTTGGGAGGCCAGGCCTAGCCCCCCCCCGCCTTCTGTCCACTGTGGGCTCCCCGAAACTCTCAAGGGCAACTTTAAGTCATTATAACGTAATTAAAATTCACAAGGACATAAACACACGCGTCAGCGCTCTGTGCCATGCTGCTGGGGGCGAAGGTTAAAAGCCCGAAGGACGAACTCTCAAGGCCGGGGTCGCCGCCCGCCTTATTCTCCTGCGCGGACATCCGCGTCGGGCGCAAGCGGAGTCCCATGCGGTCCCGCGTCTCCGGCTGCAGCCGCACGCAGCCCTCCGGGGCCACCCGTGCCCCCAAATAAGGGCGCGAACCACGCCGCTCAGAAACCACCAAGTCACTGACGACTGACCCCACAACCCGAGGGCTGGGACCCGAGGGCCGCGCCGGGCCCTCCGTCCGTCGTCCACTTCTGGGCACCTGGACCGACCCCTCCCCCCGCAGCCGCCTCGGCCGGTGCGGGACGACTCGCCAGGAGTCCCCGAGCCCGGCCCGACCCCAGCCCCGCAGCTCCCGGCCCCCGAGCAGCCCCCCGCCCCTCACGCCGCCCCACATCCCTCTGGGCCCGCGCAAGGCCGCACACCTGCCCGACCCCTCACCCCGCAGCCCCTGAGCCCTCAGCCCCCAGCCCGGCCTCTCACCGAACAGCAGCAGGAGCAGCGGCCATCGCCGGGAGCCGCCGGGGGCCGCCATGGGCGCGAGCGGGAGCCGGGCGGGGTCGTGGGCGGTTGGGCCGGGGCGGGCGGGTCGGGGTCTGACCCAGCCGGCGTGATGGTAGCTGGTCCCGGTGTTGCGCCCGCTGCACGAAACAAACCCCGCGAGCGGCGGCGCCTTGTCACGTGATGCCGCGCCGCGCCGCGCCCCGCCCCGTTCCCCACCCCGTCCCGTCACGTGACCACCGTGCATCTCGCGAGAGTGAGAGAGCTCAGGCGTGCGACCTGCTGCCGCCTCACACGTTACCTGGGGCTGACACGTGACCGCGACGCCACGTGACTCGGGTCTCGCCTCCGACCCCCGCCCGGTCTCCGGCCGGCGGAAGCGGAAGGCGGGCGGTGGGTGCGGCTGGTCACCTCCTGGAGGGGCCTCTGGGTCCCGCCTGGGGCTGCCGGATGAAAAGAGGGGTTGGGACCGGACGTGCGGCTCTCCACCGCGGGCCGAGGGTGGGAGTCCCACGGCGGCCGCCCCACGGGAGACGAGAGGGCGTTTCCGCAGGGACGCTGATGCTAACGCGTCTGTCGGCCTCGGGGCCCGTGGAGAATCCGGGCTGGGGGGTAGGAAGGAGGGGGATGTGAACACGCGTACTGAGTGTTACCCCTCGTGCTGGAAAAACACACAAGGCACAGGATGTTAATCTGGACACACTCTTGACTGAAGGGGCTTCAGAGGGTTCGGTGGCTCCCGGCTGTCACCTCGTCCTGGAGGCCGTGGGGGAGTAGCGGCCTTTCCCGGAAGGTTCAGAAGGGCCCCAAGCTGCCCAGGGAAGGAAATCGCAGCCTCGCTGCTTCCAGAACCTTCCTGAAGTGCCTCTCACTCACTCCCCAGTTCCTGATTTGCTTCTAGGCTCTGCCCGACTGCTGCCCGCGCTCTGGCCACACGGGCCCTTTGCAGAGAGAGGTGACGCCCTCCTGCCCTGCTGCTTCGTTGAGCACTTCCAACCCCACCCCCTGGGGAAACGTGCCTCCAGTTCACCTTCAGTGCAGGTGTGTTGGTTACTACCTGTCATAGGCTTTGATTTTTGTGACTTTTTTTGTTGTTGTTCTTACATTTGTTTGCTTTTTGTAGATTTTGTCTTCCTTGTTCTTTCTTCCTTTCCAGTTTCCCTTCCCCGCCACCTTCTAATACCATCAGCTGAACAAGTCGTGACACTGAAGGATTTCAAGTAAGAGGAAAGCAAAGAGGCCGAGGGAGCCCCAGGCTCGTTGGGTTTTGTCGACTGAAAGTTGAGAGCTGTGTTTTTTTCAGGGATCGTTCTTAGGACTTCAAGCCGGGTCATCTCAACCCCGAGAATCCGAGGGGGGAGCCAGGATATATAGGAGTTTTTGCAACAAAGGGCAGGTAGTCGGAATGTCAAAAGATTATCGTTAATTAAGGAAAACCAGGTATCTCAAGTTAAGGAATTTAGCGCTTTTCTATGTAAGGAGAGATGCAAGAGTCTGGGCTCACTGAAATCATTCCTTTGATCTGCACCTCAGCTCTCTGGGGCCAGTGTCCTGTGCTCTCTCATCCTGAGTCCCCTCAGGGCTCACCGTCTGGGGTAGTTGCAGTGTGATGACTCCGTGATGGCAGGCATTCCTTGTTTCCTTCGTGAGTCTTCTCAGGCTGCAGGGTGGGGAGTGGCTGCAGTTACTGATGACTGATGGCTGCAGTGTCCTTCCTTACTGACATGGCAGGCAGCATTCTTAGTCCACAGGTTGTTCAGCTCTTTGGGGCAGAAATCTACTGTTACTACAGAGTTGATTTGCTGATGTCTTGTTTAGGTGTTTAGGGATCTTTCTGGATTTTTTGTTTGTTGCTGTTCCAAATGGGGAAGAGTCTCAGCGGGATCCCATTTGAGAGAAGTGCTGTCTGTTGAAGTGTGCCGTGGGAAAGAGGAGGTGTTGGATCTGCGGTCTCTATGCTTTCACTGTGAGGTCCCTTATCAGCAGCAGGTTGTTAACATGATGTTTGTACAGTAGGTTATTATCTGAGCCTGAGCTGTCCCTATGAAGTAGAGTGTTCAGTTCAGATGTAACTGGAAAATTCTAAAATATTTCCCTTTTCTCTTGAACTTTCTGATGGTGAGAAACTACCAAAAAATCTTGAGTATGGAAACAAAAGACCTATTAATTTTGTGCTTCTCAGCCTTGGAAGCCCCTTCCTCTGTTGAGAGAACGCCTTACCCTCTGAATATGGTTGGCAGACAGAGCACCCAGCAGAAGTTGAAAAAACCAGATGGTCACTTTCCCAGCCTTCCTAGCGGCTAAGGTGCGAGCTCAGCCCAAGTTCAGCCCATTAGACTGGATCAGGAGCTAGTGGTTGCCCCTGAACGTGGTGTTTGCTGGTGACGGCAGCTGTAGCCGCAGCAAAGTGGCATTTCTCCCGGCGGTGGCGAAGGGTCTTCACCGGGTTGTTTGTAGTGCCTTCAGCCGTGGCCCTTGCTGCCCCCTCGCGCCTGCTATTTCCCTAGCGTCATTCTGCATTCCTTTTGGAAATTCTGTGAGCTACTCAGAGGCCTTTCAACAGGGGATTTTTCTGCTTAGACCCATCAGAGCACATTTCTACTGTGTCCAACTGCCCAATACACGCTGTGTTTGAAATCTTCTCTTTTTAAAGACCAAAAAGGAGTTTGTGTGAGCAAAAGAACAGGGTGTAAAAAAAACAGCAGAAAAATGAAAGGTTTAGCAAAAATTCTATGAAGTTACATTTTAATAGAGTATGGAAAAGTAATATGGTGGGATTTTCTTGTTTGGTCTTCTTTTTGTTTGAATTCTTAGTGAAGGCTGGGTCTGAGCTGGTTTTTTTTTCTTCTTGGCCGCGCCACGCGGCTTGTGGGATCTTAGTTCCCTGACCAGGGATCAAACCCGTGCCCCCTGCAATGGAAGCACAGAGTCCTAACCAGTGGACCGCCAGGGAAGTCCTGGATCTGAACTATTCTGATTGAAGGAAAGATGGGGAAAACCAAGCACAGTGAAGGACTCCACACCTTCTGAATTCTTTTGGAGACTTTTTTAAAGCCTTTTAAAAACAAAGCAGTGAGGGCAGTGAGTGGAGAGGCCTCTGCGGAGCTGAGCAGGGACTGGGGACCCTGCTTTGGTAATAATGAGCGGGCGAGTTCACAGGTGAAAGGTGGGGCCTTTTACCTGTGAAATGACCTCGTGCCGCTGGGAGGGTGTGGGCTCAGTAGCTAAGGAGATAAGTGATGGCTGATGGAAGGTGAAATCTAGCGGAACGGACTAGCAGGCAGTCTGTGCTTTTTTTCCTCTTTTGCTCTAAGTTACGCTTTTTCTTGAGACTTGGTAAGCAAAACTAGTAATGTCGCATAGTGCTGTCGTTTTTAAAGCTTGTTTTATGAAATTTCTAAAAGGGAAATTTTGAATAAAATTAGGATAATCCAGTGAGTGCTGTTGTACCGTTACTTTTACCATTTTCCCTCCCTCCTCACTTGTTTTGTGTTTTGGTTGGTTTGGGGGCTTGAGTGTTATAAAACAAACCTCAGACATTATATTTTTCATGTAAATCTTTTACATAAACAGAATGCCACTATTGTAGCTAATATAAAAACAAAACCTAAGAATTCCTTAGTAACTAATTTCCAGTTTATGTTCACACGTCTCCAGTTGTCCAGAAAACATCTTTTTACAGCCAGTGTGCTCCCTGTGGCTCCGGCGAGGTCTGCACGCTGCCCTTGATGGCGTGTCTCAAGTCCCTGTGTTGGGGAAGGGGAAACGAGGCTACTTGTCCTGTAGGACACCCACACTTTGGGTTGACCTGGTGAGTCCTTGAACGGCCATGTCTTCCTCTGCTCCGGTAACCTGGTGGTCTGATTGAGGCTTGACTGAATCAGGCTTATCTCCCCCAGGTACCACGCTCCACACGTGGTGCTGGAGCCTCCCCACGCAGTGTGGAGTGCGGGTCTGCAACATTGGCTGCGTCTGGGGCTGGTTAGCAGTGCAGAGCCTCGGGCCCCTCCGTGGACCCACGGAATCAGAACCTGCGTTTCAGCCAGGGCCTCGGGCCACTAGTGTGCATGGAGACCGAGAAGCACTCTGCCCTTTTCTTCAGGCTGTGGGGCCGCATTGGGGTGGCCCCAGTGGCCCCATCCACTGCAGAGTCCCTGTCAGCCTTTGGCCTCTGGCCCCGCGGCTTCGCATACATCCCTGGCGGTCCGTAGGTCCGCACTCCGGCGGGCTTGGCGATATCTCTGCTTTGCTTTTTCGGCCACGCCACGCAGCACGCAGGATCTTAGTTCCCCGACCAGGGGTCGAACCCAGGCCCCTACAGTGGAAGCGCAGAGTCCTAACCGCTGGACCACCAGGGAAGTCCCTGGCAATTTCTAATTCTATCTTTCCTATTGTGCTGTCAGCTGGAGCAGACCTGTAAGGAAGAATTTTCCATCGTGGACCAGTTGGTTACTCCAGAGTACCGTCCCTACAGGAAAGCTGGGATCCGTGCCTGATTCGAGATGCTTTTGTCTGGCTTCAGAGTAAGAACTCAGTGCCGAAGCAGCTTCCAGAAGTGAACTGCCGCACCCGCGTGAGCCGTGCGCTCTGGGGGGTGATGACCTGTCGGTGCGGGTTCCTCAGCGGTGACCGGCGCCCCACCTGGTGCGGACACTGATGGTGGGGGAGGCCATGTGTGGCGGGGAGGTAGCAGAGGGGCTGTGGGAACTCTGTACTTTCAATTTTGCTATGAACCTGAAGCTGCTCTAAAAAATCCAGTTTATTAGAAAACAAAGTGAACATCACATTTTACAAAATGTGATGTTAAAGTGCTGTGTCACCGTGGATTTCTGTATAGTTGATACGTCTTCAGTCTTTGTAGTTATTATCATTTTCAGGTTAAAATTGTGTGGTCTTGGTAGTGCAGCCTCCTAGATGTGAGTAACTGTGATATTCCTCTCCACGTGGGCTGCCCCTGTTGCTGTCCCACCAGCGATGCATCAGCAGAGAGCCTGTGTGCCCACAGCCTGACCCTGACCTGTACGAAATTATGTCCCTGCAGTTTTCATTTGCATTTTCCTTATGAGTGGGGCACCTGCCTTTTTGCCCATCTTTCTATCAGATTATAGAGATATTTGCAATACAAGTCACATTTTTAAAGTCAGTGTATCATTTTTAGAATCATTTTGTTTGCTCATGGCATGTCTTTGTGGAAGTTCTTTTGTTTAAACGTGGGTGAATTGATCACTCTTCCGTAGCATTTGGGTTTTAAGTCCTTCCTAGTCCTAGGTTAGAAGACTCTGTCTCTTCTGCCAATGCATGTGTAGTTTCATTTCTGCATTTGTATCTCTGATTCAGGATGCCAACGGGCAGGGCAGAGAAGGGGTCCATGTCACCCTTCCCACGCAGGTCTCTAGGTATCCTCCTTCCACTTACCGAAAGCTCCCCTTTTGTGCACTGATTTGAGATTCCACCTCGTCCTGTGCTGACGTGAGAACATACTTGACTTGATTTTTGGAGCTGCCCCAGCACCACTCTTTTGAAGTTATAGGTGCTGTATCTGCGGGGCCAGCACCACTCTTTTGAAGTTATAGGTGCTGTATCTGCGGGGCCAGCTCCCTCACTTTTCTCCTTCAGGGTTTTTCTGACTGTTGTTGTCTATTTGGCCATGTGACCTTTTGCAATCAAGTTGTCTTTGAAGATAAAGTTAATGTTCACCCGAGAGAAATTCTGACTTAGGTTGGCAGTGTTTACGGCAGCTGTAGCCATCATTGCCCCAGGCTGCACGCAGGCGGTGGCGGGGATCCTCCGGGCACTTGGGAAGTGCAGGACATTCTGGAAAGGGCAAAACTGTTGGGATTGGCGGGGCTGGGGCAGCCCGAGGGGGTCTGGGCTGACGGTGACGAGGGGGTGGGGGTGGGACTTTGAAGGTTTGCCAAACCCATAGGAACGTGCACCCCGAAGACTGGACTTCATGTTAATTTTAAAGCTACCAAGCAGGATGTGGGGGTGCAGTCCGTGACAAAGGTGACTGTCCTGGTGGTCCTGTGGCCACACCCCAACCCCAGGAACTCCGTGTGTGGACCGGAGATCTGTGTGGACACTGTCCTCTGGCTGGTCAGCTCATTCTCCCTGGGGTAGGTTAGCGGTTCTGAAGCTGTACGTTTACCGGTGTTGAACAAATAAGGAGATATTTTGCAGATAATGAGAACTGGCAGGCTCCTTGCTGTGGGAGCGAGAAGCCGCGGGGGGAAGAGGGGACCCTGTGAGCTGGAGCTCATATGTGTGTTTAGAACACAGATCGACGGAGAGTCACGGAAATCCACAGAGCCGGGCGTTTGCGCGCGTCAGACTGTCTCCTGAGTGCCCGCTGAGGGCCGAGACGCACAGCCCTGCAGGTGAGGGTCCTGAGGACGCTCCCTGGGAAAGGAGCCAGGCGGTGCCCACCCGGGGCCTCGGGGACGCAGGTGCCAACCTGAGCTGCCAGCAGCCCCGGGCGCTGGATGAGGAGGTGATGCTGACAGCATTGGGGCGGAATCCAAAGGGTGGGGTAAATGTCGCTGAGAAGTGAGGGAACACAGGGCATGTCCTCCTCACAGAGCCTCCAGCACGGAGGGCCGTGGGCAGTGACCGCTGCGACCGCTGCCGGCGCCCCGGGGGACCGGTGCTCGAAGCTCAAGGGCAGACGGCGTCCGTATGGTCTCAGAGACGTCTCCAAATAGCTCGCTCTTAACTACAAAGAAAAAAGGAGTCATTGTGCAGTGGAGACGCCACCTGCCTCAGCTGTGAGGGTCCCTGTCCCTGGTGACACCGCTGTGCCCTCCTGTCCTTCCTGGTGACCTGTGCCCCAGGCCAGTCCTCAGAGAGTATGGAGCAGGTGGTGGGGCGGCTGGCGACGGCTGACCCTGCTCCTCAGAAGCCTCCAGGTCACGGAGACAGGGACCAAGGGGACTGTCCCAGGTGGGGGCCTGAGGATCCAGGGTCAGCTCCCAGGACAGAGATGGGCATTTGCAGAAATACTGGTGATGTCCTCGTCCACCGCGTGGCGTAGCCAGTAGCGTCGGAGCAGGGCCACCCTCGTTGCAGATGGTACATGCTTTCCTTCCCAGAGGGGCTCACGTCCCGGGAAGTGTGGAGACCGGGGGAGGGGACTCTGGTGCCCCTGCAGCTCTTCTGTGAGTCCCAAACTGAAAGAATCTTTTATTTTTTTTTTTTTTTTTTTTGTTGCGCTTCGCGGGCCTCTCACTGTTGTGGCCTCTCCCGTTGCGGAACACAGGCTCCGGACGCACAGGCTCAGTGGCCATGGCTCACGGGCCCAGCCGCTCCGCGGCATGTGGGATCTTCCCGGACAGGGTCACGAACTTGCGTCCCCTGCATTGGCAGGCGGACTCTCAACCACTGCACCACCAGGGAAGCCCCCGAAAGAATCTTTACTGGGATCACGTGGTGGTTATCAGTCAGCTGTGGGGATGTGACGTCTTTGTGGTGTCCCTGTCGTCCCCTGAAAAGGACGCACGACGTGAGCCCCGAGTTTCCGCGTGATTCGGGGACAGCCCGTCATCCAGCTCTGGGGAGCCGCTCCGAGGAGGGGGGCCTCGTGGAGGGTCGCTGCCTGTCATGGGGACAGGTGTACCCGTGAATGACTCTAGCGCTTTCCTGAGGGTGGGAAGATGCAAGAATCCGGTCTGTAAATGTTGTTCCTAAAGTGTAACCGTCGAAGGGCCTGTTTTCCCAAAGCGCCAGGCCTCATTCCGTCCTGGGTCTGCGCTCCCCTTGGGCTGCGCTGTGTGCGCCCGGCGCCCCATGGCTTGATCCTCGGGGAACCAGATGGTGGGGACGTCCTTTGTTTTACACTATAATTCATTGAAGTCTAGCTTATGCTGCTTTTGAAGAGTCTACTGTCTTACTGTGTGAAGATAACAGGTGCTGTGATAGGCAAATTGGAACAAAAGGGGGAAATTCAATGTTCGCGTCAACCAGCTATGTATTATGATATTTAAAGGCTCTTTTCCATGTATTTGTGCTTTTAAAAAAAATTACTGTTGCATTTTGTATCCTCCTCTTTTCACTTGTAACAAATATTTTCCCATGCTATTACAAACTCTATAAATACACTGTTAATAGTACCTGTTATTACATCATTTGGCTGCAGTGTTTTATTCGATGATGCCTCTCTCCCCCAGTATGAGTGACGCTGCTTAGGAGAAGCCTCACGGCTCCTGTGTCTCCGCTCCGATACCTGCCGCACTCACAGCGCCCCTGACGCCAGACGGCGCTGCAGCTCCAGCCAGCTGTCCCTCCAGGGAACTCAGTCCCGACACTACCTGAGGTCTCCAGGTCAAGGGCTCAGCCCCACCCTTCAGATGCCAGTCAATCACCAGTGGCAGGTCCCCAGGTTACCCACAACCTCTGTCCGACTTGTTACAAACCGGTTGTCCCCGCCCCCGACTCGGCCTCCGCTAATTTGCTGGAAGGGCTCACAGAGCTCGGGGGGAGCGCTCCTCAGGTCTCCTGGTTTATCCCGGAGGAGAGGACACAGATGAACAGCCGGATGAAGAGGCACAGGGGGCGAGGCCCAGAAGGGTCCCAGGCGCGGGAGATTCTGTCCCCGTGGAGTTGGGGTGCCACCTTCCTGGCACGTAGGTGTGTTCCCCGACCTGGAAGCTCTCTGAACCCCACGCTGTTGGGATTTTACGGAGGTTTCATCACAGAGGCATGAGTGATGGTTAACTCAGTCTCCAGCCCTCTTGCCTTCCCGAGAATGGGGCGGGGCTGGAAGCTCCGAGCTTCTAATCACGGCTTGGTCGTTGTGGTGACCAGGAGCCACCCAGAAGCCCCCCTGGAGTCGCCTCATGAGAACAAAGGACGCCCCTGTCACCCAGGAAACTCCAGGGGGTTTAGGGACTGTGTGTCAGGTACAGGGTCAGAGACGTAGTGTTAGAACAGAAGATGCTCCCAGCGGCCTCGTTAGGACGTTCCGAGGGCTTCAGGAGCCTCGTGCCAGGAACGGGGGCAGAGACCAGTAGATATTTTCTGTTATCTCACAAATACTATGATAAATATTTTGAGGATAAATTATTTATGATTTTTCTTTGAGATTCATTTCCCCTGTAGATTAAACTGACTAGGTTAGAAGCAATGGTGTTTAATACACTCCTGCCGGTGTACGCGCCCAGCGACCATAAAAGGGCTTGAGGGTTCATCCTTCCCTTTGCCCTTCCTCACGGGCTGAGTAGTGTGCTGGTGTTTCTGTTTCACTCAAGTTACCTGTCGTTCTTGCTTTGCCCAAGAACTCCCCTTGGAAGGGACCACTGTTTGCAGACGTTAGAGTCCCCAGCCCTGGACCTGGGGGATGTGGGTGCCACAGGGCTGCCCGGCGTGGAGCCCCGACCTGTGAGTCCAGGGGGCCCCTGGCGCTCAGTAGGCACAGCTCACAGCAGACGTGGGCCTGCACCACACTCCCGGGGACCGTGATTTCTCACTTCTCTTTTCCAGTTCTCTTGCCCACTTAGCTCAAAAATATTTACTTTTAGTCCAGTAATGAAACAAAAGGCAAGAGGATGATGGCTGGTAAGTGTAAGACTAGTATTAATGAATAACATGTCAGAAAAATAGAAAACAGTGTGCTTTCAAGTGACATGTACGCTAATAAGTGGGGGAAGAAGCAAGACTCCCATCATGCAACGTTTTTAAAAACTCAGCCTCCCCTCCAGGTGGCTAACACCTTTTCCGCTGCTTAACGTAAGGCCATTGAGAACATCTTTTATACACGTCCCATGCACCTCTCGGAGAACTCCCTTTTGTTAGTTTCCTCAAAATTCTTCAACTACAGTAGGCTTCCTTTTAGAAGGTTACAAAAAAGGAACCCTCATAAAAAAGAACCAAAACTTTTTGCTTTCTTAGAAAGCAGGTTAAATCCAGTAGTTCCAAGTCACCTGCAGCACGAGAACTTGTGTGACTTCAGTCACGTGGAGTTTCCAGTTGCAACGCCCTGGACGCCGTCTGGGCCCCTGGTCTGAGCTGGTGTGACTCGGGCCTGAGCTGGTTTGAGAAACGAGATGTGGCCAGCAAGGCTTCTTCCTAGTCGTGGGCAACGCAGGGCAGGAATTGAAGTCCCCATGAAGCTACTTCCACGTTTGTAACTCATGATTGTAATTCACAGTGGTTCTGTGTGGCCAGCGAACCCACAAGTCCGCAGCAGTAAGGCTGGGAAGGCTGACAGCGAGAGAGGGTGTAACCGCAGAGCTCCAGGGAGAGCTGCTGTTCCAGACAGATAAGACTGGACTATTAATCAGTTAATCTGGGCGTTGTCTGTTCTTAACTACAAAAGAAAAGTTTAGGACCAAGATAGAAACATTAAGAAAGCTCACAATGACCACGAGCCCAACTGCCTAAGACCAGTCTCCCCTTGCCTTCTCGTTTCTCCAGCTAGAGCCAGGGAAAGGTGCCCCATTCATTTTCTTTTTTTCTTGTAACTTTTACCTTGTCAAATCCACTTTTTAAAGGTTAGTTTATATAAAATACACACGCCATTTTAGGTGTACAGTGTGATGAATTTTGACAAACGTAGTGTGAGAGGAAAATCGAACTGGCACCAGTGTTGCCGAGAGAGCCTCTAACTGGGCCAGAGGCCGCTGAGGAAGTGGGGCTTGCACGCATCTCAGTCTGGGTGGAATCGGAACTCTGACCACTTATCGTCTTGACGCAGGCGTCCGGAACATCTGCACAACGTTCTAGAAACTCAAGACACTTATCGGACCCCTGGCCTAAATAACTTGTGACGGCCTCTCCCTTACGGACAGGTATCTCCTTTCTTGTGTCACAGTCGATGGACTCTAACAACCTCACGGGGCCTTCCCTGGCGGGCCCAGCGGGTGAGACTCCGCGCTCCCGGTGCAGGGCTCACGGGTTTGATCCCTGGTCGGGGAGCTGGATCCTGCATGCAGGCGGCAACTAAGAGTCCGCAGGCCGCAAGGAAGACCCGGCGCAGCCTAAATAAATAAATAAACAAAATTTTTTAAATGGTTAGGATGGTAAATTAACAAACACGAGCTCATGGCGTTGGCCTTTGTAAACCCCCGACGCTTTCTCTTCTATTGAATACTCTTTCAGCTTTACCCAAATCTGCGTTTCCCAAGTTGAAATTCTCGAAGATCCCAAAGAAGCTCTTTCTTATATGCAGCCTTCTGCGTTTTCTTAGTCAACAGCAAACACCCACGAAACCACCACCCCAATCAAGGGAGAAAACATCGTCTTCAATCCCAAAGGGCCCCTCGTGCCGCTCTGTGCTTCTCCCCCATCCCTAACCCCAGGCAGCCGCGGATCTGGTCGCTACAGGTTAGTTTTTCATGTTACAGAATTTCACACAGATGGAACGGCATGGTATATACTTCTTTGTATCTGGATTCATCCACGCCGTGTGAACCACTAGTTCATGCCTTTGCATTGCTGATAGCAGCTTGTTCCAGTGTGGCTCTGCCACACCTGTTTACCCATTCACCTGTTGAAGGACTTTTGGTTACTTCCAGTATTTTGGTGGTTACAAATAAAGCTGCTATAAATACTCAACACCAAATCGTGGTGTGGACAGATGCTTTCATTTCTCTTGGGTAGATAGCTAGGAGTGGGATGTCTGGGTCATATGGAAGGTGCGTGTTTAGCTTTAAAAAGAAACTGTCAAACGCTTTTCCAAAGTGGTTGTACCATTGTAAGTTCCCCCCAACAGTAGCTCCACAT